AACTATTTCTGCTGTGCCAGCTCGTTACGCATGTGTGTACGCGTCTCAATTCGTGTGTGCGGGGAGCGGTGAGCGCTACGCTGCGCTACGAACCCGGCGACCCCAGTTCGATTCCCGCTCACGGCCAACACCGGTGACGATTATTTGAACCGGTTCTGGGCCTCCCCTAGGTCGGACTTAGTCTCGAATTAGTATCTGGTGCGGTGTTGTAAAAACATCGCCACTGGGGATACAAAGGCGGCCGGGCGTGGTGCTGGCCACCCACCGCCTCGTGTGCCGTCACGGGCCTTCATGGGTGCTCGCTAACAGCACTTGCCCCCTACGGTCTGTTTCAAGGCTACACGGGGGATCTTTGTCTTTGGTCTTCTTGTGTGCGCGTGGTGAGCGTGCCGTGCATGAGTGTTGTGGCACGACGGCGCACAGCGTGAGTGCTTGACACAAGTAGCCACGGGGAAACACCAGCCCGCCGCTCACGAGAGGGTGCGTTGGGAGCTCCTTCTGATGGAAGGGCATTCCGCCTGCAGTGGAGCGAGCGAGATATTGCAGGGCTGAGCCTTTGCCCGTGTGTGCGTGTGTGTGGATATATATATACAGGACTTAAAGGTTTTTTCGTGACTGCAGGAATTCATATTCTTGGGTCTGTCGGTAAAGTCAGGTGGATAGGTTCAAATAAAATAACAAAAAAACTGAAGACGACCGCTTGTGTTGCGATCGAAACGTCGTAGTTTTTTGTTTGTTATTTTATTTAACTTTATCGAAAGACCAAAGAATATGTCAACAGGGTTGCTTCAAAAAAAATGTTCACACTTCGGAGAATTTGCAACAACAACAACGCCACGAGAAATGTGCTGCCTCCTGGACTCTGGAAACCACCTGTAGAAGATTCCAGGCACGCGTTGGCAATGACGGCGAACAAGTGGAGACTCTTTTTGACTTTTTGAAGCTATTGACGTACATTTGTTATCACGTTACAATGTATTATCCGTTCTTTTTCCATTATAAAACGATATAAGTGTTATATTCTTTGTTATTTTTTGTTATTTTCTTGGAACCTATCTACGTGACTTTACCGAAAAACCCGAAGAATATGAATTCCTGCAGTCACGAAAGCTTTAAGTCAAGATATAAGTGTTGAAACTAATTTTGAAGCACCCTGTGTATGTGTGTGTGTGCACGTGGTTGGTGAGTGCTTGTGCACAGGATGTGGCTGCACACGTGGAGTGCCTGGCCATCTGCGTGCGCCTGAGAGTTGCATTTCATTCTTTCGGTCACGAAGATCAAATTCCACTCTCGCCACGCGGTCTTCGGTGCCTTAAAAGGGACTCTGCGCCCCGAGACTGCAGACGGAGAGGTGCTCGCCTTGGCTGCTGGTTAACCAACTTCTGGCGATAAACCATAAACCATTCCCACCACCGCTCCGCCCTGCACATCCTCCACCCCTCGTCACGACCCCGCTCTCAACTTCCGCTCATCTCGCGCGTGCTCGCCCCGGGGAGTCCATCACGACCGCCCGCCCCGCCCCTCCCCATCCTCCTTCCCCTCCGCCCCCCCCCCTCCGCCCCTCCCCCGCGACACTGATGGTTTAGCATTAAGTGATGGGGCCCCACGGCGGAGACGAACTCGTGATCCCCACCGTGCAGCAGAAACCCCGAGCTCCACGGCGGAGCAGAAGCTCGCGCGACCTCACGATGCTCCAGGGCAGGGAATTTGATCACCTTGAGCCCCACGACGGAGCTGTCCCTTGAGGACGTTACCGCAGAGCATGTCTGTGTGTACGTACCGTATGAACTTCTTTCACACCTTACGTAGCCAACCGTGGCCAATGGGAGGTGCGGAGAAGGACAACGAACTTAGCGCCAGGGCTCCACGACGGAGCACCAAACTCGTGATCCCCACGACGGAGCGGTCGTGTCCGATCCTACGGCAGAGCGCGGCTCACCCCTGAAGCAGGGAGTGGAGGTCGCAGCAACGTCCCCGCGGTGGAGGTGGGGGTGTTAGAACGGGCAGCAGTGGGGGTGTTAGGACGGGCGGTAGTGGCGGTGGCGGAACGGAAGGCGGTGGACGGGGCCGCGTTGCAGGGTTATAGGGAAGGGTTGGACACGAATCCCAGATTATTCGGCGTTTGAAACTTCCCCAAAGACTTCCCCCCAACTCCCTGCAGAGCTATCGGCCGTTATGAGCCAAGTTAATCATCGCCCGCTTTGAAATTATCGGCACGCAGCAGGGAGAGGGAAGGTAATTATCACTCGTTCCGAAATCTCCTCCCCTTCCCCCTTGAGTAATTGTGGCGTTAATGGAAAGAAAACAAAGACGCGGTCACTTCTCTGGCCCCAACAAAGGCGGGCCGGGGGACCCCCGGGGGGCCCCCCGTAACTTCAGGTCGATATTTCAATTGGGCTGTGCCTCGCGGTGATATAAAGTTAATGGGGGCCGAGAGATTCTGAATCTGCGTTAATGGTACTAAAATATCAAGAAGATTTTTTTTTAAAACCCCATTAAAATTTGGTACAAAAAAACCCCCCACAATCCTCAATATTTTTCAAGAGGCGCAATGCCGCGTGAGTGAAGTCAAGAAGGGGTCCTTGAAGAGCTCTCGTGGCACTCCAGAGAAGCAGGCTGCAGACCCCCACACGAGCCAGGCCCAGCCGCACCCCTTCCCACCAACCCCCGTGTGACGGCAAGGACCAAAGCGGCATTGCCCGCTCCATGAGTCTCGTCTCGTAGATTGCACGGCAGGAGATGGAGCGACGAAGTGAGTCTCGTGAGCGGCTGCTCGGTGGATTTTCGCATCGCGGGACGGTGAAATATGGTGACGCGTGGGGAGACTTTCTCCCAGCAGTGGAGAAATCATGGCTGATGATGAATTCTAATATGATTCATGATGATTGGCGTTCAAATAGTGAACTCGATGCAAACTAACCGCGCCGTGGCAGTGCTTTTAGTTTAAACTCATCGGGGTCAGGTCAATAGGTCAAGGGATCGTTACGGCCAACGTAATTGACGCTACTGCGCCCCGCCATTGCTCCCTTCCTTCTGCACGTTCCCGCAGTCGTCGCAAAAACGGGACAACACCGGACCGGCACACAGCGTTCACTCTCGCAGTCTCTTCCGCCGACCCATCGATACTGAACCTCGCCGTTTGACCAAACTTCCTAGCCACGCTGGTCAGTGTCGGGCCGATGAAGCGCGGGTCTGGCGGTATTCACCCGCCACTCGTGGAGCCACTGCCATCCCCCCCCCCCCCCCCATTCAAGGCCCCAATCGTAAATGAAGCGGTTGCTTTGTTGTTGTTGTTAACACCGGCGGCCCGCCGCTATTGGACCGCGTTCACAGCGGTGATGCAGGTGAAGTCCGCTCTGAATACAGACATCGACGGTTGGGCAATCACTGAACTTTTACCACCCCCGTGGAATGCAGGGGCGTGATGCAGTGCAATCGGATGCAAGGTGTTGACTCGCCTTGAGTGGAGGTCACCGGCTGTCCTCGCTGCCTCACTCTGTGCTCAAGTCCACGGGTCTAAATCCAGAGACGAAGAACCCTCGCCTACAGCCTCAGAGCCTAGAGTGTAGTTAGAGGCGGCCCCCGCTTTCACGACATTCCTGGGCAGCCCGTCGTAGATCGGACCCTACTCTCCCATAGACGCGATGCGACTGTCTTAGTGTCAATAGAAATGGGACAGTCGAATTGTAGAATAACCCAGGAGGTAAAACAAAAACACCACCAAACAGACGTAGTTTATTCCATCATCGATGTAGTTTCATTAAGTCAGATGTGTTTGTAATCTGCCATATATACCTGCTGTGTGTGTAAACTGTTAGTTGTTGTGACGTTCTTACCCACCCCGATTGGGCATATGTGAAAAAGAGCTTTATAGCTCATTGGATTCCTCCAGTAAAAATAATCTGTAAAAAAAATCTGATTCTGTCCGTGTAATGACAGTGTGACACCTGCTGGCCTGGAAGGGGAATCACGGGCACGGTTAAGTAACAACCAATCAGAGCGGGAGGTGTATCTGGGGCAAAGGCAACAGGCGGGGCTAGCCGACATAGTCCGGGAACCTGCTCAAAGGTTCCACGAGAGGGTGTGGCCAGAGGCGGGGCCTAGCCACGCCTGGGGGGATATAAGGGGGAGCGGATCCGGGGTTCGTGTGTTGGGTCCTGGCTGCGTCGCCGCTCACTGACATCTCTCTCCGTCGTCCGGCCACGTGGAAGATCTCCTGCGTGGGTTCCATCGCCATCGTCATCACGCCGCCAGCCAGCGGCGTAGCCAAGTGAGAGCGGTGGCACCACGCCGAGTGATGGGCTGTGCGTGTAGCTAGTAGAGACGTTAATACCTCGTGTTGTACTCGGTGTGAGAAGGCATAAGTGTTGGACTGTGTCGTGCCCAGTGTGAGTAATAAAGAAGTAGTACCCTCTACACCAGCGGTCCCCAACCTTTATGGCAACAGGGACCGGTTTCCTTGAAGACAATTTTTTTACGGACCGGGCGGGAGGGGGTTCATCATTGGGTCTTTCCCCCTTTTCAAAGAAGCTCTCCAGCGACGTTTGTTTTTGTACTCATTTTGGCTACTAGGGGTTAGAGCTTGTGGGCTTACCAACACCACGTGACTGAGACAAGTGCGCAGTGCAGGAAAGAGGCGCGGACGGAAGTGGTAAATAATAAAATAATGGGGCGGGCCACGCGCGGACTCAACGCTCACCTCCTGCTGTGTGGCCCGGTTCCTAACAGGCCATGGACTGGTACCAATCTGCGGCCCGGGGTTTGGGGACCCCTGCTCTACACGACGTGTCGCGGAAGTTGCCCATTACACGTGTACAAGTAAATCTCTATGCGCGTGGTTCAACTCTAAGAATGTTTGGGTCAAAAATACACAAAACAAAAGGAAACGGCTCTCATTATTATTTGAAAAGATTGCCGAGGTCCCTATCGAGACGTATCCCCACCCACACACACACACAGACGCGCGCGCAGTCAACAAAGCAATGGGCGACACGCCACGCCACAGTACTATTAAAGTTATTTATTTCAAAGGGAGAAAAGAAAAAAATACCGAAATCAAGCCAAAAAAACCAACATGTTACGATAATCCCAGCGGCAGAGAAAGAGGAGATCAGAGAGAGAGAGCGACAGAGAGAGAGAGGGAGAGAGACGAAGAGAGTCGGGGGGGGGGGGGGGGCGAGCTATACTTAATAACACGTGCTCCTTACAGCATCTATTAACGCTACTAGACACGCGGTCTTACATGAGTTTGACTGTATCTACAGATACACAACCACAGAGCGGACTCACCGATGAACACGACGGGCAGAAAACGTCCAGAACGAACGAATGAGTGAGCGGTGAACTCAATGAATGGGTGAATCAATCAATTAATTGATGAAAAGACAGAGAGTTGTGTGTATATAATATATAGTATATCAAAAGTGTTGTTTGATTGCCGGTGTAAATTTCTGTTCGCGAATATCGCTGCTGCTACTGCTCGGGGGGTCTGGCGACTGGTTTATCAAAAAAAATAATGGGGGGCAGGTTCGGAGCGGGGGGGGGGCGCAGAGGTAGGGGTCGTGCATGGCTTTGGGCCTTGTGGGGTTGCTACTGGACATCTGTGACAAAGAGCTTTACAGCTCATCGGATTCCTCCAGTATAAATACATATTCCGATTCTGAATACGCGCGATGTGGACACCAACGCTGAAGAGTGAATGGATAACGGAATGCCAAAATCTGCCAAAGGTGGGAGAGGGATAACATTCGTGTGGGGTCAGGGCAAGCTCAGTGCTACCCAGACTCCAGCCCTCACCACACCATCGGCACTCACACACTCGGCCCGACCCCGACAAGCCACCCAACCCCACCCTGGATATAACTTTCCCGTAACAAACGTCCGTACCAGAGACGAGCTCCTAGCCCTAATACTCTACCTATCCAGACTCTAACCCTATCCCTAATGAACTACCCAACCAGAATCTAACCCTAGCCCTAGTCCAAATAAACTACCTAATCAAACTCTAACCCTAGCCCTAACTCTACCTACCCAGAATCAAACCCTAGCCAGAATGAACTACCTCGTCAGAATCTAATTTTACCCCTAGTCCAAATTAACTACCTAATCAAACTCTAACCCTACCCATATCCCTAATGCACCACCCACCCAGACTCTAACCCTACCCATATCCCTAATGCACCACCAACCCAGACTCTAACCCTACCCATATCCCTAATGCACCACCTACCCAGACTCTAACCCTACCCATATCCCTAATGCACCACCTACCCAGACTCTAACCCTTCCCATATCCATAATGCACCACCCACCCAGACTCTAACCCTACCCATATCCCTAATGCACCACCTACCCAGACTCTAACCCTACCCAAATCCCTAATGCACCACCTACCCAGACTCTAACCCTACCCATATCCCTAATGCACCACCTACCCAGACTCTAACCCTACCCATATCCCTAATGCACCACCTACCCAGACTCTAACCCTACCCATATCCCTAATGCACCACCTACCCAGACTCTAACCCTACCCAAATCCCTAATGCACCACCTACCCAGACTCTAACCCTACCCATATCCCTAATGAACCACCTACCCAGACTCTAACCCTTCCCATATCCCTAATGCACCACCTACCCAGACTCTAACCCTTCCCATATCCCTAATACACCACCTACCCAGACTCTAACCCTACACAAATCCCTAATGCACCACCTACCCAGACTCTAACCCTACCCATATCCCTAATGCACCACCTACCCAGACTCTAACCCTACCCATATCCCTAATGCACCACCCACCCAGACTCTAACCCTACCCATATCCCTAATGCACCACCTACCCAGACTCTAACCCTACCCATATCCCTAATGCACCACCTACCCAGACTCTAACCCTACCCATATCCCTAATGCACCACCCACCCAGACTCTAACCCTACCCATATCCCTAATGCACCACCTACCCAGACTCTAACCCTACCATATCCCTAATGCACCACCCACCCAGACTCTAACCCTACCCATATCCCTAATGCACCACCTACCGAGACTCTAACCCTACCCATATCCCTAATGCACCACCTACCCAGACTCTAACCCCACCTTTAGCCCAAACCACACGACCCGGCCAGACCATTTCCCAAACCCGAGTAACATAGCTAAACAGACGATGGCACTAACCCTGATCGTAACAAACTCAGCCAGCCAGGCCCTGACCCTCGCCTCGCCCCTGGTGCTTAGCGTGCCGCCCCCCCCCCCCCCCCCCCCAATTCTAATTGTGAAGTCTCTTTTCAGCTTTGATGTTCGCAGAGCGCATGGCGATCCATCGATCAACACCCCCATTCACCTTCACGGAGCTCCATTAAAGCGATCGTTTCATTAAACACGCTGCAAAAACCGAAACTCTACGTCGCATCGTGTCGGTCGACACAACTGTGGGGCCGTGACTCGACGGCATTGCCGTGACGTCATTGAACTTGCACGCGGTCTGAGAACGTACGGTGATGAGAATGACGTCACAGTGATGTCACAACAGTGCTGCCATTTCACGCCCATTACGGAACTTTAACAGTAGATGTTTTTTTTATCGTTGACGAAGCTTTCAACTCGTAGTGAACAGCACAGCCCTGGACATTGTGGCTACAAGATAAGAGCCGAATGCGTGTTTTGTAAGGTTCCGTAATCTTCGCCAACCAGATAAGTACGGCCAAGCTTCTCCCCATGAGCGACACCGCGTGGGGGAAGAGGCCTTCATCCAGCAGTTGATCGATAAAGGGCCGAACCCCGTTACATTTACGTGGCTCCGTATGAAAGTGAATGGTTGTCGCTTTAACAGGATCCGATGTCTCTCTCGATCCCCGCGAGAGCGAGTTCTGTTCCGGTAAAAAATCTTGGGAACCGCCACCACTGCCGTGACGTCACTGTGCTGCGTAACCCACGTGTCGGGAATCAGGGGGTTTAATTCCTCCGGGGAATTTTGGCGTTTGTGTGCGCGCGTGCGCGTGCGAGCGTGTGTGTACGAATCTATAAGTGAGAGTATGTGCGTGTGCACGTGTCCTCGCGAACAGCACTTGCCCCAAAAAGTCGGTTCAGGTTGTACGGGGGGGATCTTTGTCTTGTACACGTGTCCACGTGTACATTTGTGTTCGACTCGCTATGAATTGTAGAATACAACATTTAAGATGTAAGATTTTCGCAATTTGTAAGGATTTAATTTATCTACTGAAGATTTTGGGCTCGTTTCGCATTGTTACAAAAATGTGCGAACAAATGTGATCTCACCTGATGCCAAGTGACGCCGCTCTTTGGAAGAAAATTTGAGGGTGAAACATCGTTCAAGTGAGATCGCTCGATACGATGTCAAGATTTCGGATCAATCCGACGCAAATGTTGGCTTTATATATATACTTATTTTCGAATCATCTTATATCCCGGCCTGATTCTCCAATTTAACTTTTCGCATGAATCCGAAAAAAAAACACATCCTTGATAATCGTGTACCTATGTGTGAATTGTGCGTGGTTGTGTCTTTGAACGCGTGTGTCTTTGTGCGTGCGGTTATTTGTATTCTTATGTAATTTTACTCTAGGCGCCACGTTTACGAGTCGACATATCGGCGTTCGCGTGAACACTGGCAACCAATTTGGCGGCGTCTTCCCGAATAAAACCCCCGCTACAAACTCTGCCTCGAATGACGACGCATCTCTTCTCAATCGAGGTAATTGAACGGTGATATACGACGGCCAGGACGACCCAGGTAACGCAGTCACCGCAGCCGATGTCAAATAGCCTTCGATCGAGACATTTCAGGCTAACACCTTGTGTTGTTTTTTATGACACGGAGTTATAGTACAGTAACCCCTGACGTGTAAACACAATTATTCTACGTCGTGGGCATAACACACAGGAGTTTATGGCCTCTGCAAAATACTAAACATCGGTGCGACTGTTTTTTATATATATATTTGCGTCTCGTTCTCAAAACATTGACCATTGGCTGGGGCTAGTGGGGGGGGGGGGGTCACACGGGGTCACGCGGTTGCACCAGTGACATCAAGATGCGAGGGTTAAGGCTACGCACAGGAACGCGTTCCGATTGGCTGATAGGTAGATGGGGAATACAATTTCCGTGGCCAGGAAGGTTTATCCAGCCACCACCTTCCGACTCCAACCCCTTAAAAATAGAACACAGAAAATATGACACTTTTTTTTGGAATACCATCACAGGTGATCATCATAATAATAATCGTAATCAGGTTACCTAACTACTGCGACACTGACTCCAACATGAATTAACCCGCCACGCGCTCCGGTCACCGGGGTTGTAACGATTCACACCGACCGCCGATTAGTGAAATTTCTCGAAAATGTTCGCACCGTGGTGATACCATGACAAGGATCATCCATTGTAAAATAATTTTTGAACAGTGGTGAATATAGCGGCCTTTCGTGGCTGCGCGACTCACACAAACCGACGGTACAGCAAGTACTGTATTATGAACTGGAAAAACATAGACTCGTATGCGCGTGATACGATGTATGCGTGTTTAGAATCCATGCGAATCGATATCCATCGATGAATCGTGACAACCTCTACTGATACGCAACGGAGGAGGGTGGGTGGGGGGGTTTCCTTACCCTCGCTTCCATAAGCGAGCCCAGCGATTGGTTTAAAAGATTCAACTCGCCGGGAAGGCGACAGCCAATCGCGGTGCGTCCCCCTAACTGGCGACGGCGTGGCACGAGGTGGGGAGGAGGAGGAGCGCGATTGGCTATCGAACTTTTGTGTGGAAATCAACATCCACAGCCAATCGCAGAGGCGGAATCCATCACGTGACAGCTAAAGTGCCGTTGCGATTGGCACAAAGGTCGCGTTTCGAATAGTTAACGCGACAAAGTTTATCAACTGAAGATTTGTGTCATTTTATAGATGGGATTAATGTTAAATTCGTGGTTGATTCGCAACTCCGATTCGTTAAATGTTTTATTCGTGAAAATTCAGAATAGCTGCTGAACGTCATCATCGGCATTATCACCCGCAGGCAATTAAACCGAATTCAACGTAACGAAACCATTTTCAGTTTTTCACCGCACACTTAATGGCAAATAAAAAAACGTGGGTGCAAAATGTGTTGCTTTAAACGAAGGAGGTTTTGCTGTAAAATATTCTGGATATTTTAGAGATAAGCTAGCGACTGATCTCGTACTCAGAGACCGATGCAGAACAACTTTAGCTCTACCGCTTCTTCTTCTTCCTCCTCCTCCCCCCCACCTCTCCTCCCACATCATCACCACCGCCACCTCGGCTACAGCTGACAGACACAGTCATGAGACCACTAATCCATTTTGCAATTCGTCAAACGGCGCGTTGAAAACAGCTTATGCACTGGACTTTTGGTGGACAAATCTTTTAACAATATAAATGTTTATGCAACTGCATTTTGGTTTATTACGCATTGGGCGTTAACAGCTGCAGATAAAAAAAAAATCCCTGCCAGCCAAAAGCTTGATCTGCCATAAAAGCTAAACATCGCATTTGCGTTAAGCCCGACTTTATGTCGTTAACTACTACGCAGCGTATTTAAAAAGGCCAATCATCTTTACAAGGCTGGAACAATTTGGTACTGCTTTGTGGCAGGTCAACAGCAGTCGCCCCATCGAAGATTTGGCCACTGCCATAGAAATGTGTAATTTCCACCAAAGGGAGACGCTTTAAGAAGGTCGGGGGGGGGGGGGGGGTGTTAGAGGCTTGTACCGTGAAATTTCACGGGCAATATTCATTGCAGTTGGGTCAAAAATTCTGATTTTAAAAAGACGAGCCATGATCCTTCTACTGCTGAATGAAGGCCTCCCCACCATCCGGCACCATCCCCTTCACTATCCCGCGATGCGACGATCCACCCAGCACCTGTATAGAGTTGATTACATCGCTCCATCTCCCTGCGGTGTACGCATAAGCATGGCACATCTGAAATGAACACAAAAAAAACTTTTCGTGCCACCTGTAAATTTGTCGACCACGATCGTCCAGTGCCAAAAAAAACCGGTAGATTTTTTTGTTAAAACTTACGGATGCGATATTTCATTCGAGTTGTACACTAGCCCACAGAGTCTATACCAACCAAAGAACCAACTTCTATATATATAGGGTTTCACACTGTCGTGAACTCACGCGAAGCAGACGGGCAAGCGAGCCAGTCGGCAACTAAGCAAATGCGATCGGTGTACTATACACACGTGCGCGTACAAGTACATCGCACGTGTGCAAAGTGTGTCCGCGCGCGCGCGTGTGCAATTTTGCGCATCTAATAGGCATATACTTATAATAGCAGGAACAAAAAGTGTCATTATTATGTATGGCATTCTGATTCGAAACACTGCCTTATAATAATTACTTGTTTAATATATATGAGTAAAGAAAACGAAACACAACCCAAAACAATATCAAGTGTGCAGTGCGTACACGTGAGCCCACAGAGGCGTCTTACGCGGGGCCACGCGCGTGCATGTATGCGCGTGAACTCGTGTGCATGAACACACGTGTGTGCACGCACGCACGCGTAAGTGTGCACTCACACGTGCTTTGGCCGCACCGCGTTACAAACTCAGGGTCCAAAAACAGCTCACGGAGAAGGGCGCCCGTGCGTGCGTGTGCATCAATGCACGTGTGTGTACTCGTGTGTCTGTGGGTCTGTGTGTGATGTGTCAGTGGGTCTGTGTGTGTCAGTGGGTCTGTGTGTGATGTGTCAGTGGGTCTGTCTGTGTGTGTCAGTGGGTCTGTGTGTGTGTGTCAGTGGGTCTGTGTGTGATGTGTCAGTGGGTCTGTGTGTGATGTGTCAGTGGGTCTGTGTGTCAGTGGGTCTCTGTGTGTATGCGTCCCTGGGTCTGTGCCATTGCATGTATGTCAGTGGACATTGTGTACGTGTGTGTGTGTACGCGTGTATCTGTACGTGTATTAGTGTATGAGGGCACGCCTGTGTGTGCGTGTCGCCGTGCACACCAATGTGTCCAAGTGTTCTCTTCCCCTGTGCGTATGTAGTTGTGTGTGTGCGCGTGCACGTGTGTGCACTCCGTTCAGTTCACACGTGTCCTTCTCTCCCGAAAACAAATATTTGTTGCACAAAATGTCCCAAACGAATACGCAGCCACGAACAGTGCAAGCTCTGCGCGTTAAAGCAGGTCACAGACACACTCACACCTCCTCCTCCTCCTCGTCCTCCTCCTCGTCCTCCCGAAATCCGACCATCAACAGCGACATCGGCATAAAACACAATCGTCACAAACCGGGGCCAGCTCCTGTCAATTTTGGACCCTAGCATAAATTGGCACTGTTTAGTATTAAGAGAGAGAAAGACAGGAGAGTGAGAGCAAACACGCGAAAGGTAGCCACTGATGTTGGCGATGATGATGATGATGAGAAAGCCATCATTATCAGAAATGAAATCATGAGCATGTGATCGCTGTCATCGGTCGAGCTCGCACAACGCCAATCGAGCGACGCATTTCAAGTCCAACAACTGGACATGTCACGATTCAAGTCCTTCTTTGCATGCCGATGGCGAATCAACTAATCACCCCCCTCCCCCCTCCACCGAGCAAACGGGGAACGTTGGATCAACGTTGGTCCAACGGTTCCAAACCACAAGCCAACGTTGGGCCGACGTTGGGGCCAACGTTGGACCGACATTGGGGCCAACGTTGGACGGACGCTGGGGCCAACGTTGGGGTCAACGTTGGGCCAACGTTGGGCCGACGGATCCAAACCACAAGCCAACGCTGGGCCGTGTATACTGGGTCGTTTTGATTTAATCGTCAAGATTTGAAAAGATGATTATATGCAGGAACCTGTTATCTTTCTACGTCGTTTGTTTTGCACCATCCAGTGTCTGCTGTCTGTCTGTCTCCTATGCTCTGTCTGGTTTGAATTGCGCGCTCAGTTTTCAGCATCTGTCTCGTATATCACCACCCCCATCGTTTTTACAGCCGTGTTGGCATTGCCATGTCTCGTCTGTTCCGCCTTATTCGTGGGCTCCGTCTCACACTCGTGTCGTCTAATATCGCGAGCTCCGTCCTGTTTAGTTTGCATTACTTGCGTCGTGCGTATTGTACATTCTGCCTCGATCGCAATGCCGACAAGAGCGTGTCCGTCTCGTCTCGTTCATTGCACGCTTTCGTCTGCATCGGTGGACCCCGCGCGTTGTCTCCTTTCTATTGCAACGTCTCGCTGGTTTGCACTCGAGACCAGTGGTTGTTCTTCTTAACCCCTCGGGGTTGTACGCAACCCCTGGGGGTGCGAGATGCCCTTTCTGGGGGGTGCGAGACATGGCCAGATTTTTTTTGTTAAAGTAAATAATCGAAAACACAAATTAAGCACGGACACGTACGTACAACTACTTTGTGTCGTCAAACCCTCTACGTGTTTATTAACATTGTAGATTTCTTTTGAAACGATAGAGAACTAAAGGGGTGCACAGCAAGGCTGCAGTGAAGGTCAAGAACCACTGCTCTGGACGCAACTCCACTCTGATCCGTCTCGTTCGCATTGCCCTCCTCGCCGTCTCTCATTCGACCCCCCCCCCCCCCGACCCCCATTTACTCGGTCAATTACAACCCCCACAAACCATCACGCTCAACACCATCATCACGCGGACTCCGGTGCTCCTCGCCGCAGCAGCTTTTGGCAAACCATCGGACAAAGATGGTCACTGCATCTCGCGCTTTTAGATGCGCTTCTGCGGCCGTCCGGAACGCTCTTCCTTCCGATATCAGGAAGCCATTGGCGCTTCCGCAGCCGTCTAGAACGCTCTTCCTTCAGATATTATGAAGCCACTGGAGCTGTGCACTTTTACATCTGAATTGAAAATTCATTTCTTTAGAACTGCGTTTTGTGTTTAGTTTTTTGTCCTTCCCCCGGCACCTCCGATGAGCACGGTTGGTCATGTACGGTGCAAAAGAAGTACAATATACCCACATACATACGATTGGCACGAACAATAAAACAATAGCTTTCTAGACACACGCACATATCGCGAGCGTAAGCATCAATTTTAGCCTATGAATCGTTACATGTCCGAGCAATTAGCAATAACGTGGGTTCCACAGGTTTTTTTTTAAATCGTGTAAAGGCTACACCTAAGTATTTAATATAGGTCGGGTTAATACAGCAACTCGTGTCACGTGATGTCGGCGTCGTGCGATTTACCAGTGATGGTCGCTATAACGCGCGGTGTGAATTTGTAAATTTGTCTTCAGTGGCAACGTTTCACGCGGTGTTGTCGCGTCCAGCGTACAGCCCAGAGTGATTGTTGACCGAGGCTCAGATCTAAATCAAGGCGCAAATTATTTGACAATTTGGCCATCGGATGGTCAATGGCTCGTCCACCGGCATTGTGAAGTGTGGACTTTCCTCCGCTATTTCCCGGGGGCTTGTAAACAGGAGATGAGTTGACATCCTCGGGAAAAATAACCGCGACTTCACCTGTTGTTGTGAATTTATCGTTTGCCAATTTCTCGAGCCGAGTAATTAAGCATCATGAAGTGTAGTTTAAGGCCCCGCGTCGCATCCCGCGTTTGTATAAAAAACCATGGCACGTTAATTAAGGGATTTCCCCACCGCGCAATTAATCCATTAATCAACCAACTGACTAATTCATAAATCGATTAATCGCCATACTAATCAACCAATGCAAAAATCAATTAATCAATCGACTGACCAAACCATCAATCAAGTATACAACCAACCCATCAAACAATCAAGTAACCATTCTATTCACAAAACAACCAACCATTTAATCAATTAACAAACCAATCAGTTCATCAATGAGATTCGTGAGGATCTATAATTCCCGGCGTTGCAGTAGGCAAACTGAGAGTGGTAATAAAATTAAGAGTTCATTTTGTTTTACTCCAAAGTCTCACTGTAAATATATTCGTATATTTCTGGAATGGCACGACTATAGAGCAATTGACCGCGGTTCTTAAATACATGTCTGTAGCATGTAGGCTAATTGGCTGTGCGGTGTCAATTTTCTAAATGGACTTTGGCTTCATCAGTGGCAGCTATGGCAATAGATTTGTACATTTTTCTTGGTTCTTTCGGTAAAGCCACGTAGAAGGGAAACAATAAAACAATTTAAACAAATTCTCACGACGTTTCGACTGCAACACAAGCAATCATCATCAGGTGTGAAAACCACAGCAAGAATTTTTTTACCGAAAGAACCAAGAATATGAATCCCTGCAGTCACGAAAGCTTTAAATCAAGATTTGTACATTGTTCACGTACAACCCTTGGTCAATTCACTGCTGGATGAGGACCTCCCCTCGGCTGTGCGGGTCACAGGGTTTAATATGACCATACCTCACCATGCTGAGCGACAGCAGTATCCTAACACCAACATCAAAAATATTCTTTACCAACCAAACACCCATTTTGACAAAAAAACAAAACACATACTATAATTAATAACACAAAGTCAATTGCCTTTCAATGCCTTGATTACCAATTGAGTATTTCAGTGGTACTTAGCGCTCAGTGGTTTAATGCAGCCGTCACTACGTAAAGTCAGTGCGCCAGAGATCAGAAGAGAGAGAGAGAGAGGAGAGTGAACAAAGAGACAGCCCACAAATCACTGTAGCGGTGCACCGACTGCACGTGACAAGAAGACGACTTGCGACCGCGAGTTGAGAATCGAGGGGGTGTGGGAGGTAGCACAGCAGCGGACTAGCACACGTGGTGCATTTACCATCATCACTGCCCATCACCATCCATCATCACCGTCGTCTCAATCGTCTCAGTCCGCTAAACCTATAACAGCCTGGGGAGGGTATCCTGGGGGAAATCCCCGCGCACCTTTGCGCGCGCCACGGAGCCTCGCAAGGTGAGTTGCACCTGGCCTGGCACAAGCCCTGCGGCGTGACGTCATCCGTCGCTTAGTGGTGGCGAATGTCGGGCTGCTGCTGTTGTTGTTTGAATGCGGGGTGGTGGCGGTGGTGGATGTATGTGAAGTTAGACATGGCACAGAAAACCCATTTAGGAAAAAAAAACACACTCAAGGCTACGGCACAGATGCATCCACTTAGCTTTCATGTTAACACCAATAAAGTAATTACGTGATATTATAATAGTAACAATAATTATAATTGTAAATCACCTCTACCCCCCCCACCCACCCCAAACGCAACCACACCTCGGCTGTTTAAATACCACCTTCCTCAAATAACAGCGCGCTGAAGGAAAAAGAACGACTCCTACTCACTCCTACTCACTCACCACCCACGCTCCCCGGAACACAAACACCAGCTCTTTAATCTTGTACCGGATTATAAGAAGCACCCCCCCCCCCCCGTACTCAAAGCAAATGTGCGGGGTGGGGGGGGGTTACATTATCCGGTAGGTGCGTGCGCGTGAGCTCGGAATTGTGCTACTCTATGGAGACCGGGCACAGGGTTTTTTTTGGATGGGGGAGTGGGTGGGGAAAGGGGCCTGCGTCTTACTTCGCGGAGCGTCTTATGATCGTGAGCACGCGGGTCTACGCGTGTTGTTGTTGTTGTCGTGGTTACCCTGTCCGGTGCCGCGCGCGCGGTGTCGCTGGGCCGTTCGTGGCCACGAGTTTCAAAGCTTCGCAAATTGGAATTGAAAAAAAAACCGGAGACAACTTCCGCTTTGACGCAGCCCCGGACGATGCAGTAATAGAGGCGGCGTGAGTGTCCATGTGCGCGCGTGCGCGTGTGCTCGTCTTTGTTGAGATACGGATGGGGAGCGGTGGTGCAGTGGTTAGCGCTGCGCTACACTGCGAATCCGGCGGCCCGAGTTCGATTTCCGCTCACGGCCACCGGACACGAGTGACGATTATCTGCACCTATCCTTGAGCCCCCCATCCCATCCCCGCTAGGTCCGGTGTGTCAACAACAACAAAAACCATCGCCACTTGGGAGACAAAGGCTGTCGGATTGTGGTGCTGGCGATCCGCCCTCGTGTGCCCCGGCGCCCTGCCTTCATAAGTGGCACTCGCTGACAGCAACTTGCCCCAAAAGTCTGTTAAGGTTATGAAGGTGTGCGTGGTGGTGGGGGGGGTCTCTCTGTGTGTTGGATACAAAGATAAGAGGGGCGGTGCGCGCGTTGTGTTTGCTCGGGAGAGGGGTCCACCCCTGCCTGCGTCTTCCTTCGGTGAACAGAAGGGACCTTGAGCGTGGGGGGCAGAGGGGGTGGTGTTTAGGAGAGGTGTTTAAGGGGGGCCTTTAAACTAAAGCCACGTCTGTTCAACATCTACGGAACACCGCGAACGATGAGTTTTTTTGTAGCCCCCCCCCTCCCCCATAGATGGAGAATTGAACAGAATCACATCTGCCGCGATTGTACGAATGAATGTTCTTGTTTGATTGCGGTGTGTGTGTGTTACACATAGATTAATTCTTCTAGCATGTGCGTGTGATTGTGTTACGAATGTATGACTTTGCATGTTTGTGTTGTGTTATGAATGTACGACTTTCCGTGTGTGTGTGTTATGAATGTGCGTGTGCTTGTGTTATGGCACGCCAGTGTTTTGTTATTAGAAATTGTATCTATTTTGTTTTTGCAATTTTATTCGAGAGACCTGGTCTTGGTTACAGCTACATACTGTGGTGCACATGTTGCCTGTTGTTTTAATATCAAAATGGATTTTGTTAAAGAGGGAACTGCGTCGACACGATACAGATAAATGCACACACACACGCATACACGAGTCTACACAACCACACCACATACATAATACGCAGAGACACACACAGACGCACACTGGCAAACACATAGGCCTACACACACACACGGGCACGTCCAACTACAGACATATACATACACACAGACATTCACACGTAAACACACAGAGACACAAATAAGACACGCATACAAATACAGACACACACACAGACATAGAGACAATCACACACAGGCAGACACACACGGGCACGCCAAAGCAGCCATCTAATGTCATGAGTGCCAGCCACTTATTGATAGCAGTGATGATAACGATGCCAATCACTGCGGTAACGAGGTTGGCAAAACGGGTGTCAACCACCACGCCTAGGCTAAGGAGCCGAGCGCGACGCGCGTGCGTGCGTCAGTCGGACGCTGGACGGACAGGCACTGGGAATATGTCTGGGTAAGCTGTGCAAAAACTGAACGAAACTATTAAAAAAAGTCTAAATCACTTCACTTTTGGGGCAGACCCCCCCCCCCCCCAAAAAAAAAAACACAAAGGCACGGCGACGAGTTATCAGGCATCGCACTTGGGCAGCCGACAGGCGCTCGACGTCGAGTGGCAAGGGGTAGGCCTCTCGGGAGTGCAGGCCCAATTGGGATGGGCCGCCGACAGTAATGGGCACCGCGACTTCGTCGAGCACAACGAGAAGTTGAAAGGATTCATTTTGTTTGCCCGCTGCGAGCCGGGTAGTGGACAAGGCAGGCGCGGCCGTGTGCTGCTGCAGCAGCAGCAGCAGCAACGGCAGAGTCCGCGCGGTCGGGTCCAGGGTGTGTGGAGGGGCATGGGAGGGGGACAGGCGACGCACGCTCCAACACTCCGCGTGCCACGCGCGCGCGCGCGCTGACGTCACTCGACGCGTCACAAAGCGATCGAGAGAGATCCAACCAAACCCCGCCCCCCCCCCCACCTCGCTATTTTGTTGTTCGCTGTGGGATCGATGAGTGGTGCCGCCTTCTCCGGATCGTGAGACGCGCTTGCTTTTTCCGCCCCCCCCCAACCCTTCTCGCCCCTCCCCCCGCCAAAAGTTAAGAGCGCGACTTCGTATAATTAATCCGGGAGGTTTATTCAAATATATTTGGCTGCTATAAATGTCCACGTGATAGGCCACCTTTCGTTGAGCCATCATTTGTGGCGATGTCGCTTCTGAACGAGAGCCATGCAGCTCAGTGGGGCCTCACCTGGCCAAATAGAAAAAAAAACCAAATAGTTTAGTTTGATGTGCGCGTGAGGCCAGATTTGCATGGCTTTATTGCCACAGGTTTGAGGGTGCGTCTTACCTTCGGGAGCGTCTTACAATCCGAAGAATGGGGTCACTGGGTAACTGCAGAGGGAGGTTGGGTGGGGAGTGGGGGGGGGAAAGGGGGACGTTCCCTGCCCACCTCCCTCCTCAACCACCCCCCCGCCTCGCCAAAAATATTTCAGACTCTCCTGTCAAATTGCCAATAAAAAAGTTAAGAACTCTTTGATGTATATGACACTGTGGACACATTTCGCGATCGTCGATTATACCTTGAAATTATTTCCTTCCCTCTGGCTCTGAATAATTCGTTTCTTTAACTGGGGGGGGGGGGGGCGTCAAGAGAATACAAATAAAAGACAAACTTCTGGTCTACCATGTTGCTGATGAGACCCGAGAGAGGCAAAACCGGTCGCGAGTGAGAATGTCGCCGAAACCAAAAAAACCTCGATTCTCAAGGATGGTAAGTTTGGACTTAAAACATGTAATAAAAAAAATGTTTGTTGGTGACAAAGCTGATCCTTGGATTTTTTGTTGTTTATTCGTTTAGAATATGATTTACCTATAATCCACCAGGACAGCGCACAGACACGCTTCGCACAATTTAACTTTGTCGGCACATTGCAAGGATTTGGCAACCGTCACAATTAGGGGGGAGGGGGGGGAGGCGGTGGGGGGGGGGGAAGGCGGGGGTCGAATCGATTCGGTAATCGATTATGCAGATGACGATCTTATTTAAATTCCCATCGCGGTGAAAGAGTTGCGTCGCGAGTGGCTGCCAGGGTTTCTCCACGAGAACCAAACGCACGGAGAAGACAACAAAAAGACGACGGTACAGGAAGCAAAACAAAGTCGACTCTCACGCGAGCGTGCGAATCGACCCTGGCCCACCAATCGATGCATCGTTACATACCTACTCATCAGCGGTGCCAGCTTGGGGGGCGACTGGAATTGGAGAGAGGCGGGGAGGGAGGTTACAACCTCCTCCCCCCCCCTCCTCCCCTTCCCACAATCACACTTGCTACCGTGGATCGAACCCGTCAGCCAGTCAGTCGGAAGGGGGTGGGGGGTGCTGTGTTTTCTTGTTGATGAACACAAATGATGGGTGCCCGTGTGTGTGTGCGCGCGAATGCGTGTGAATGTGAGCGTGTGTGTGTGTTTGAGAGTGCGGTGGTGCAGTGGTTCACTCGCTGCACTAGTAATCCCAGCCACACGGGCTCGATTCCCTGCCTGCCGCGACAAGTCATCAGTGGCACATCGCACCTATAAACCCCATCTATAAACCCCTTCCTCCCCGAGGTCGACTCAGCCTTAAAACGTGCACCTGCCGTGGCGATCTAACACTGGCGCTGGGGAGACAAAGGCGGCTGGGCACGCGCGGCGGCGTCGACCACACCACACCACCGCCGCTTGATGCGCTTTCACTGCCTCGATAGGTGCTCGCTTACAGCACTTGTCCCTACGTGCTAACAGGGTTAGACGGGGTACGTCTCTGAGTGTATTCTGCATCTGTGTGCGCGTACGTGTGTGTCCATGCGTGCAGACGTCGGCTGAGCGGTTGGTAACAGGCCAACGGACTGACCTAATGGGGGCCAAATCGACTACGTGCAGGCGTTTTGCGAAAATCTGGGCGCCGGGTGGCCAAATAGTGTCACGCCAGGCGGTTATCGTTGCCCGCCAGACCTCCCGCGCGTGTGCCTGGATTAGGCCGTGGCTGCTGGACCAGAAGTGTAGCAGATAAGTGCGTGTGCGTGCGTGTGTAAGGTGCGTGTGTAAGGTACGTGTGTACGTGTGCATGTGTAAGGTATGCGTGCGTACGTGCGTGTGTGCGTGCGTGCTGCTAGCTGTGCAGACATCACAGGATGGTGCATGGCTTCTTGTCCTTGAAGGGATTCTCGGAGTTGGGAATCCCCACCAGCAGCGGATCGGACTTGGCGTGCTCGTTGCAGTACCGCATCAGGTCCGAGGCGGCCTTGGACACCTGCAGAAAACGCGTACGCGTCACGTGGTCTCGCATACGACGGCAACAACAACAGCACGTGTCTACGTACGGAGCATTGAACTTCTTCCGCACCGTACGTAGCCAACCGTGCTAATCGGAGGTGCGTGGGCGAAGGACAACAAACCGAACACAAAGCAACAACAGCAGCAGTGATCACGGTCGGCATTCACCAATCGATCGCTCAATCGGAAATATCCACGGCAATCATCACCCCCCACACACCCACCGACCCCCCCCCCCCCCCCCCCCCCCCCTACTGCAAAACGAAATAAAAACCATTGCAGGACCCCCTCCTGAACACGGGCTGTGAGACTCAGCGTGGCTGTCCTGGGAGAACGATTTCATAAAATGTGTCGGTGGTGTCACCATGGCGCTTGTGCCAGGCTAGGTGCACTACCAGGCCACGCGCGTATACAAAGATCCCCTGTATAGCCTTTCACAGACTGTTGGGCAAGTGCCGTTAGCTAGCAGCACCAATGAAGGCCGGCACGGCACACGAGGGGGAGTAGCCAGCACCACCCCCGGGCCGCTTTTGTCTCCCCAGTGGCGATGTTCACACACTGCACCAGGTACTCATTTGCAGGCTGAGTCGACCTAGAGGATGCCCAGGACCGGTTCAGATGATCGTCACCGGTGGTGGCCATGAGCGGGAATCGAACCCGGGTCGCCGGGTTTGTAGCGCAGCGCGCTAACCGCTGCCCCAACCCCCGCGCACGTCAGACACAGCAAGTGAAGCCACGCATCCCGTCCAGCATGAGCAGATCAATTCTGCACCCAGCCCAGCCAAAGGCATCTGCCTGCAAGGCAGAGGAAGCGTGGAAGGCAAGAGGCAGTCGGCTTCAAACAGAGGCTGTGGTGCACCGCCAGCCACTTGAAAGCGTGGCTGTCCGCCAGGCTATTGGGTAAGGTATCACCATCAAACGGAATCCCTAAAGAGTGGGGGCGTGGGGGTGGCGGCGGGGCGGGGGGTGTAGAGGGGGATTGATGCGGGGGGGGGGGGGCGTGGTGATGGAGCCACGAGATATGAGATTTGGATGCTGCCGGGTGGACGTATGCAAGGGTACACGCACGGACCACCACGTGTACAGTACTTGTGCATGTACGTGTGTACATGCGCGGCCCTTTCTTTGCAAGTCTATGGTGAACGACAGACGCGCGTCAAGACCCATGAACTTACGCAGAGATCCATGACACTTGGCATAGTGGCCCATATACATGAGACCCATATGATTATAAAGCGGCCCATAGGCTTTCTAGATGTACGCAGAGATGAATTTACACAAACAGACAAGGATCAATGCATATGCTTACATGCTCGTACAAAGACAAAGATCACCACTCTAGCCTTTAACAGACTGTTGGGGCAAGTGCTGTTAGCGAACACCTATGCAGGTTAGCATGGAGCACGAGGGGGTAGGTGGCCAGCACCACACCCAGCCGACTTTTTCACCCGAGTGGTCGATGTTTACACACCGCACCAGGTACTCATTTTGAAGACTGAGTCGACCTAGAGGAGGCCCAGGACTAGTTCAGATAATCGTCACCGGTGTTGGCCATGAGTGGGCATCGAACTCGGGTCGCCCGGTTCGTAGCACGGCGCGCTAACGGCTCCCCATACATACACGCAACAGACTTAACATGACCTATTATACGCTTAGATATGACTACTACGATGAGATGCGAGGGAAGTGAGACCAGGGGTCACTTATCGGCTGGGGTAGTCACGCGGGGGGGAGCGGACAGGGAGCTACAACAGCGGCCTTACAAGGGAACGGACAAGAGCCAGCGTAGTCTCAGGGCCAAAGCACAGAGTGTGATAAAGCACAGCACGGCTCAATACTGTACACAAATGCCCAGTTTAAATGCTGCCAAGGAAAGTGCGAGTTTCACGAGCCCTCGTCAACATCGAGTGCTTGTCCGTGCTCCGCGCCCCGTCCAGCAGACTCTGCCACGGGGCGCCCGCAGTGCGACAGGGCGCAGGGCCTACGCCTAAAACCCTGGGGACTATAATCTGCAGAGGCCCACTGCGCGAAACCTCGGGGTTGTTATCTGGGCTTGACGCACCGACGGGGAACGAACGACGGATAAGCATCAACGGCGTGCGTTTTTTTTTCCCCAGGCACTCGAACAATATACATCGTCTGCGATGTCAGCGGCATGACACGGGGAAAATGATGAAAGGAAATAATCTGGCAAGCGCAAATATCCCCGGTGATCCGCTGCTACTGCTACTGCAGCAGCGTCAAGTTCTCTCACTCCACGCGGACATGGAAATGTTTGGCCTCGGTGGAGAAGGGCGGTTGAGGGTTATGGGTTGCACTAACAATCACTCAGCCACCCAATCAGTCACCCACGCAGTCAACCAATCACCCAGCCATTCAGGCACACAGTGCGAGGGGCCGAGGGAGCGTCATCATACCTTTACCCGCTCCATGCTCGCCTCTATCCTCAGCTGCTCCACCATCTTGCGTGCCTGTGCGATGTTGTTGGTGCTGGACATTGCTGGCGGTTGGCGGCTGGCGGCTGGTGGCGCTCGGCTGTAGTTCTCCGGGGCTCAGGTCACAGGCGTGGGCTCTCGCACCTGGAGACAGACACGGGGAGACAAGGGGGAGATGCAAGCTCAGCACGGACCCTCTCCTCCTCCTCGTCGTTCGACCAGAAGAACACTCGCTGATGTTTCAGTCAATGACCCTTCTTCTTCTTCTTCAGAGAGAGAGCGTGCTGAGGGACTGGCTAAATAATAGTTGAAAATCATCACGGGTTACGGTCTGAACCACGCACGCCCAGTCGTCGTCGCCGTCGTCAGCTCTGCGACAGATACTCGTACTCAGCTGGGTCAAGTTGATGCGGGGGAGAACCAGGACCGGCGCTCGCCGCTGATGTGAGCCATTGGGCGGGGAGGAGCTCAGGTTAGTAGCGCACAAATGCACTCAGAGGCAGATACAAAGACCCCCCCCCCCCAGTATAGCCTTCCACAGGCTGGTGGGGCAAGTGCACTTAGCGACCACCGATGAATGCCCACGTGGCACAACAGGGGAAAGGTGGCCAACACCATGCCTGGCCACCTTTGTGATGCTTTACACACCGCACCGCGAGTCGACCTTGGGAAGAACCAGCACAGGTTCATATATTCACACTCCTGCTGTTGGTCGCGAGCGAGAATCGAACTCGGGTAGCCGGGTTCGTAGTAGTGCAGTGCGCTAACCACTGCGCCATCACCCACCCCCCCACCACCGTTCACACAGACAGACGTACACTCACAAACATATACTTACACACCGTTTAGCTCTTGCAATCATCACACTCTATTACACGGACGCAGACGCTCACGTAACAAAGACAAAGACCGCCCCGTATAGCCTTAACAGACTAATGTGGCAAGTGCTGTAACGAGTAGCATCTATGAAGGACACACTCACACACAGCAATCACACTTATAGAAGTAACACAGCCACCACAGAACCATACTCGCACACACACATTCTCATTCTCACACACATTCGACCAACAATGTAACCTTTACATTGTTTTCCCTTTTTTTTCTTCTTCAGAACGTCGCAGCAAAACCCCCGAAGCCACGTGCGATCCTCACGTCGCGTTCCACTCCCAAGGACGCCGTCGCCGTCGCCGCCATGATCTCTCTCTCCCCGTTGGACTCCCTCGCTATTCAACCCCCTGCCTTTACTTAACTTCTACGTAAATCGTTGGCAAATTTTTTTGTTGTTGTTAGCCGCGGCTCCCCGAGAGCTTGCGACGGCCCCGGCAGCACCGAGCGGCGCCTCTGCTCCTTCCGTCCCCCTACGCCCCGTTCATCCCCTCCGTGGACCCCGGCGCTCAGTGAAAGGCCCCACGCGATATTAACAGGAGGCGGGCGGGGGGGGGGGGTACCCCAGCCCGTGGCCTTTAGGGGACATCAATTGGGTCGGCAGGGCTTCTGTGAAGCGGGGGGTCAATCCGTGAATGGGGGAGGGGGGGACAAAGCGGAAGGGAGGTGGGGCGGTGAGCCACCAATGTAGATGGGCATTATTTCAAAGGTGTACCCCAAAAAAGGTGCGGTGCAAATTCAATGCTGTACAAGGGGAGCACGGGGCATGTGTTTGTGTCGCTGGCAAAGATCTCTCACCCCGGCCTCTCCGTATAGCCTCTAGCAGGCCGTAGGGGGAAAATGCCGCTTGCGAGCAGCACCTATGAAGGTCGGCACGGCACACGAGGGGACGGGTGGCCCAGCACCATGTTTTAAACTCCGCACCAGGTACTTATATATGAGGCCGAGTCGACCTAGGCGGGAGGGGAAGCCCAGGACCGTCTCTGGTGCTTGGCGGCCCGTGGGCGGCAATCGAACTCGAGCTGCTGGCGGGGTTGGAAGCGCGGCGCGCTAACCGCCGTGCCCACCGCTCCCCATACAGGCAGGCACGGGGCACACCGACCAACACGCGCGCACAATCCTTGAACACGCGCAACGCTCGAAGGCAGACACGGGAGCCAAATGGCTCTCGTCTTGTATAGCTTACACGGCGAGCGGACGGCGCCGAAGTGGCCGGCGTCAAACGGGAGACAATCCGCTGTCGCAAAATGCAACCTGCAAGGGGCGAGCTACGTAGAGAGCCGGGCCGTGCGCAGAGACGCAACAGCAACGGTCATTAAGTCAAAGACGACACAATCGGCGCAGAATTCGGCTACGCTCGATTGCTCCTTATTTTAGCGCGACGGCATCCACGAGGGGCGACATCGATGTTAAATTACTCTCCGCAGCACGCGCGCATGCGCGTGTGTGTGTGTGTGTGCGCGCGCGAGTGTGTGTGTGTGTGTGCGGAAGAGTTCAATCAGCCGTGCCGGGGAGCTAAGGGGGTGGTTGTCGGGCGAAACGCGGATAGCTTTGGTTCGTGTCTCCCGAGATTTCTGGCGGACGCCCCCTGCGAACATCTCCGCGCCTCCGTTTAGCACGGTTGGCTACGTGCGGTGCGAAAGAAGTTCAACGTATATGTCCGTAAATCACTTTGTCCGGTTTTGCTCCAGAATATAGCCCCCGGACAGCGACGCACGTTGAGGCTAAAGTTTCACTCGAACGGGATCATCTTTAAGAGCACTATAGACCACCCCCATCCCCCCCCCCCGGCTCCCCGCTCCGTTGAAGATGCATGGACAGGACAGGACAGAGCTGTTGCATTAAACGCTTTCAAAACTTAGTTGGGCAGCGTCAAAAATACCACAAGTCGCTCCCCCTTCCTACGTCTGGCTATAACAGCTAAACACAACAACAACAACAAAAGCCAAAGAAAAACTCCGAACCTCCCTTCCCGCACTCCATCTTCCATCATCGCCACCAGCTCCATCAGAAGCTACAATGGGTCTCAACTTTCGCCAGAGACCACTTGGAGTCGGGTGTCTCAAAGGCTCTGCCGGACCCTTTCATGTGTCAGATCCTGCTTGCTGCTTGCTGCTGCTGCTGCTGCTCTTCCCGCCGCCGCTGCTGCTGATGACGATGATGCTACTACGAGGCTCGTGAGGCGTGCCTTGTAAAGCCGAGCCTTGCAGCAGTAATTATCCGCCAGAGCAGCCAGCAGGCAGAGGAGTCGCGCGCAACGATTCATGAAATGTGAAACTTGAATCTTGCCGAAGACTTTAAAGGAAAAGTGGGAAGGCCGCTGTGGACAGCCCCGTCACTCACTTAGCGGCGGTCGGCTATTGCATTAAGCCCGATTAGCCGCGTGTTAAATTAAACACCGGAGGGATTAATTACAACCACGCACAGAGCCATCCTTGGGGTACGGAGAAAATGGGGGGGGGGGGGGCGACCGTCCCGGGGCCCTGTGTTTTGGGGGGCCCTGCGCTTCGACGTCACGAGGTGGGTGGGTGGCGAGCACCATGCCTGGCCGCCTTTGTCTCCCCAGTGCTTATGTTTACACACCGCACCAGGTACTCATTTGAGGCTGAGTCGACCTAGGGGGAGGCCAAGGAGCGGTTCAGATAATCGTCACCGGTGTTGGCAGCGAGCGGGAATCGAACTCAGGATTGCCGGGTCCGTACCGCAGCGCTGACCGCGACACACGCACACACACAACACACAGTTTATATATAGACACATACATTACTGCATTTTTGCATATGCGCGTATACAGTCACAGACGCACAAAATACGCATGCACGCACTTGCAGGGCTATTTGAAAAGCACAACGGCTGCGTGTTTGCCGCACGACGAGACGCGGGCACAGACAATGCAAGCGCGGCGCACGTGTGGTGCAGCACTTGTCCCTGTGTGCAGGTGCGTGCGGCCTCGAGTGCAATCATCGACGTCGTCATCGTCGTCGTCGTGCACGTATCATCAATCGGGCATCGATGAGCCAACTCGCTAATGCGAGTGGCCGGCGGAATAACCATCGGTGAATGCCATTGCATTTTTTAAAATTGATTTCCGGGGTAAGGGGCAGTTTCAGCGGCACAGACGCCTTGGAATTCAACCGCCCCTCCCCCCACCCTCTGCCCACGCGTCCACGCGTCACAGCTCCGGTCACTCCTGTTCCCGGCAGGAAGCCGCTGCTGATCGTCAAAGAGCAGCTTACGCGTCACGGCAGATATGTCGTAAAACAAACAACCCGACACACAAAAAAAAACCAACCCGCATTTATTTATTTATTTCGTCGTCGCCGCCGCCGCTGCTGCTGTTTCTGCAGGGCGGAGGAGCGGCGGCCGCCCCCGCGGTGGTTCCGAGTTCGATTCCCAGCCACAGCTCGACTCGAGTGGCGAGCCATGTCAGGGATTGTTCAAGAGTTTTAGCGCGAGACTTTGAGCATTGCAGAACTCTCACGGCGAGCGAGTCCACCCATGTGCGAAACCAATCTTCGCGCGTTTGTGCGTACGGCAGCGCTTTTTTTTTGCAACAGACTTAAGAAATGTTCAGACACACACACACATACACACACGCATGCATGCACGCATTGCATGCACACGAAGACAAAGATCCCCCGTATAGCCTGAACAGACTGTTGGGGCAAGTGCTATTCGTGAGTAGCACCTATGAAGGGCCGGAACGGCGCACGAGGAGGTGGGTGGCCAGCACCACGCCCGGCCACCTTTGTCTCCCCAGTGGCGCTGTTTACACCAGCTACTCATTTGAGGCTCAGTCGACATACGTGCGCACGCACTTACAATCCAAATAAGAGGGGTGGACCAGTGATTAGCTCGCTGCGTTATTATAAATTCGATTCCAGGCAACATCAAGCATTCGTGATCGATATCAGAATCGATCCCAAACCCAACTCGGCATTAAAAAATAAAGTTATATTTTTACGCGGGGGGGGGGGGGGTGGGGGTGGTGGGTGGGCGCGGGGGGAGACAAGGTGCATGAACAAGACGTCGCGTGTTCTTTTACCTACTGGACCCGGCTGACTCGCATTTACCGCACCAATAAACTGCGACCGTTTGCAGACTTGCGTGCATGATTGAGATGTGGGGTGCCAGCAGGAGGGAGGGAGGGAGGGGGGGAAGCGGATGTTGGTGCAAGTTGGAGAGTTGAAGGGAAGGGAGCAAGTCGGTGGGGGGGGGGGCGGTGATTGGAGCAGGTGATTAAACCGTGTGGCTAC